TAGTGTCAAATTACTGGAGAGTAGCCGATGTCATTAAGAAGAAGTGCTGCTCACAAGATATGTGTTTCAGCTTTGGAATTGGCAAAGACATTGATTTCCAAAGAGGCTGTAAAGAGCTTTCAGCGGGGGGTGGGGTTCTTAATTCACTGGCAAGTATGCCAAATGCAACATTGAGCTTGCCCCCGGTGGCCCCAGGCAAAAGGGTACTTGCCAGCTATGATGCATTCTTCCAAATGCAGTGTCCGCTGGTGCGCTGTGCAGCTATCGGCATAGCTTGATTTCACCTTGCAGGACGGATTCATCTACGAGCTGGAAGGTCAGATTGAGCTTCTGGAGGGGCAGCTCCGCAGCAAGGACGGAAAGATGGCTGCGGCACTGCTGGACTTTGGAAGTAACATTGAAGCACCAGGATGTCGAGCTGCGAGAGGTGCAGGACATGCTGGAGATTCTTGGCAGCTTCCGCCATTCACTGCATCTAGATGTGCAACCACTTACTTTGGGCTGCTTGCACCTGGTGCGGTTGTCTTTCCAGGACCTCCTGGAAGCTGAGAAGTCGCAGCGGCATCGGGAGTCCTTGGCCGTCCGCGGTCGGCCTGGGACCGAGTCTGCCTTGGCCAGGCATGTGGGGACCACCTCCCAGTTGGGTTAAATCAGGCCTCTGCATGAGGTTCCTATATTTTAACACTCGCAATTGAGGTCCTTATATCAGGCAAGTTTTCATATGGCGATCCCTTCCGTGGAGCTAGCTCCTTTCTATCATGTTCGTTAGCAAGGCTCGTTCTACAGTCACCATCCATGATATTCTTAGACTCCTAGACCCTCAACAAGCTGAAGCTCGAAGTCCCTAAACCCCTGCACCCCAAAAATTTGAAGCCACTGAGCTGCTTCATATAATATAGTAGTTTCCATGTTCTTTTCCATTATCCCTATATAACCACAATTTCTTACTACTAGTATACCCTAAATCCTGAACCCTACTCAAGGACTCCACAGGAGCTCGCTGAGGAAGTGGATTCCTTGCAGACTCGGACTGGCCCCCTGCCTCAGCTGAAGGGATGATACTGGGTTGCTGTTGAGGAACTTCATAAGCTACTCTATTGGGGAAGTCCTATAATTTGCTGTATATACATATATATCCATTATGGTAACTTAATTCAACTTAATTTAAGCTACTATATTGGGGAAACCCTATTGTTTGGTAACTTAATTTAAGTTCCTTAACAGCAACCCAGGAAGGGATGATACCCGGGGTCTGCACAGAGTGTTGGGGACTGTGGAGGAGTCCATGGCATTTCTAGACGGAGTTGATATGGGTTCTGTGGGGATCATACAGGCGTTGGCTATGTAGCTCCCTTAGGATCGTTTGTCTGGGATGTGCAGGGCTTTGGGCATGTAGAACTAAAACAGAATCTCTCGGAATGCTCGGCTGGTGCTATAGCCAACTCATAGGGCGTCCCCTTGTACATTCAAAAAATGCAGCGCCTTGTCGGAAGCAGCTCGAAAGAAACAACTGATCACATGGATGCCCAAATCACTCTCCAAGTTTGAAGGCGCTGTTTCCCAAACTTTACTGAGCTTGTGCTACAAGGATCACTTACGATTTGCGCCCAGATGATGCTGGGATCATAGTTTGGGGATGAGAGAATAACCCCGTAGAGATAAGGTTCGTGTGGGTTTAGGCTTGCTTACAAGGCCCAGGTAGATCCCAAACAAACAATGCAACGCATTTCTTATAGTCCGGCAAGGTTTAGTCTGTGGACTGAGAGTAGTTCTAATTGAGAGGGAATCCCTTGTACACCCAACATGTGAAGATCCTGGGTGCAGAGACCTTGGCACCACCCATCATTCTGCGAAATGCCCAGATAGGAAGTGATGACGTGCCAACAAAGGAGATAGTGATGATATGGAGGTTGTCTGGACCTGCTATGGGATGGTAAATCGATTGTGAACAGAAGAACCAAGAAGTGGCCTGAAGTTAACGTGGCTCCTTCCCAATCCTCATTAGGCCCACAAGGCATTCCAGCCAAGGATTTCTGTCTGACCTGGTAAATCGCTTCGAGGACTTGGCCTTACTATTAGAGCATTTTTTTTCGACTGCAGAAATGGGCGAGCCTTTTGCAGATGATTGAGCTTTGCCAGCCTTGCTTTTTCTGTTAGACAGGACAAGACTATGCAGCTCGAAAAGCAGCTGAAGGCGGGCTGAAAGGAAGGATGCTGAATGCAGTGTTTGATAGTTTGACGCTGCGCTGCAGCAGTATATTGCTACTGTGGCAAAGTTTCCGCCAGCCACCAGCCTTTGCCTCCAGCCTGAAGGGACAATTCACAGCTGTCTGAGGAAGCGCGGGAGGAGCTCGTTGGGTGTGGCATGAAGCGGGAGCTGGCGGAGGTGGCGCTTGGGGACAGTTGGTTTTCGGTAGTGCTCTAGTGAGGAGCTCTGGCAGTGTAGAGGGAAACAAGCATTGAGAGGGAAATCATTATCAAACCTGGAGATGCACTGTCCACAGCTTGTTGTTAAAGCAGCCCATGGCCAAAACTTCCACTGTGTGCTGTTTTTAGGCGACAAGATGATTAACTGCGCCCAGAAGATTAAGGCAGGGCAGGTTTGATTGTAGAAGGGCTGGCTTTTCGGACAGGAGGCTGCGCGCCAAAGTGCCGAAGCGCTGCAGCAAAGCAGAGAGGAGGCGGATACTCGGCATGTTTGTGCAACTGCTGCACCCCGGCCATTGAATATTGAGTACGGTGGCCGACATGTATTGGGAGACGTGATTGATTTCAAGAAGTTAGGCCAATGCCTGCTCTGAGCGATGTCAAGGCGGAGAGCTCAAATCTGGCCCTTCGGAATGCCAAGAAGGAGCACAACAAGAAAGTCCAGGAACCCTTGTGCTGCCTGCAGCATACTGTTGCTGTTCACAGTTGAAGGAAGTGCAGTCTATTTCTTGGTTGGCTCGTGTGCGAATTAGCGTTGCAGCAGACCCTGCAAGAGATCCAAGTCGTTGATCATACCCGTTGAGTAAGATCTTGATTCAAGCGCACGAGGGCACAGCTTCTCCGATTCTTTTGGTAGTTTTCAGTTCAGAGTGCAACCTCTGTATTTTTGCGACGTCCATCGCATTGCCCTGATTCCGCTTGGTTCTGTCAAGCTTCCACATGATTCAGGAACAATTGCGCGGAAACAGTTTCCTTCAGTGACAGGGTGCCTTAGAGCGTGCAGCACGGCCTTCTGGCCTCAGCAAGAGATGAAAAGAAATGTAGCCAGATGCCAGGAGCTGCTGAGGCAGCTTCAGCTGGCGCGCGGCCGGCGACTTTCAGAAACCAAGTCCCAGGAGGACTTGGAAGTTGAGGCTGTTTCCACATGATCAGGGCTACTTGTAGTGCATGGAACAGCGGACTCTGTTTTGAAAGAGGTGTATGTTTGGTACACGTGATGCAGTTCGACTTCATCTGTGGTAGTCATGCATGCAAGGTTTCGCCACATCTCACTGCAGCATGTGTTGGCAGCCTCAACTTTGATCAGCTTTGTGGAAGCACTGACAAAGCACAAGAACATGAGGACAGTTTGCTTTGGTAGGAGATGCAGCACCTCCGCAACGAGCTTCTTGAGCTGAAGGCTCGTCTCCCTGTCCTGTTTCTGATCCGTTCCATTGGAGTGGACGCAGGAGCTGAACAGCCGTTTGGTAGAACGCTTGGGCCACGAAAGGGCAGAGCATGCCGGGGCACCCAGCGGTCAGCGAGTCAAGGCTGTGGGAAGTGTGTTTTGGAAGAGAGTCGCTTATCGGCTTGTCCGCCCATCCAAGTCGAAGCTTGTCAACTTGGTGCCCCCAATCATGGAGAGTCAAACGGAAAAGAACATGAACAATAAATTAGCAGCTGGGGCCTTATTGGGATTCTCATTTGTCCCCCTTCACCCTCCTAATACTACAAACTCCGCAATCTTGTACCATTATGTATAATAAGAAATCTGTTCCAACTGCAGGCCGAGGCTCAAAAGCAGCTACAAAGTTGCAAGCGGGACCACCACATCCTCGAGCTTCGCGTCGAAGAGCTTTGCGAGCAGGCGCAGCTCTATTTTGACTGCTTTGTTTATATTAGGGTAGTTGGGGGTTATATTAGGGTATTATTTTGGGATAATGGAACACACAAGATGGAAACTACTTTTCAGTGTTAGTGACAGAGCGCTTCTGAAAGCTTTGCTGCTACCGCCATGTACTTGCTGCGCCTGCTTCAGCTCATCGTGCTTGCCGAAGTCAACGACAGCCTGGAGCAAGCGCGTGCCGACTGAAGTCAGGCACGGAAGCTCAGTAAATTGAGGCTTGCTTGGTGTTTTCCTGTTTGTCTTGGCGGCGAGCAACGCAAATCTGTGCTTTTTACGTTTTGCCCGATGGGAGGTGTCTGAGTGAAAGAATCTTGCAGGCGTTACCCGACTCCACTCTGCGGCTGGGATAGCTGCAAATTTGTACAAAGAGCCTTGCGGCACCAGAAATTCAGTGCCTCAGTGCCCGGAAGAACCTTTTGCATGAATGCATATCCCAAGCAGGTCTAGGGTAAAAAGCAAGAGCCCTTATTTCAGGGCCTGGACAGTATTGTGCTGACAAGCCTGAAGCACTGAAGATGCTCCAAGGAGCACTGGAGCCTTGCCTTGTGCGAAAATGCACAGGCTGCTGTGATAAAGCGCCAAAAACGAACAGCTTTTGGATGATTACAGTTCTACCTTTGAGCCGCTTGCAAAGGGGCTTACTCTCATCCTCCTGGCAGATTGCAACCCTGTAGCACACACAGGAGGACAGAGGATAGTTCGCAACAGTTCACATGGTTTTTACACTTCGAGGCTAAGAGGCTTGCTCCAAGAATGTAACCGTACCTCGTGCCCTGTGCGTGAGTGATTCATCTTTCTCGCTCTTCACTCTTCTGCCCAAGCTTCAACCTTTTAATCGTAGCTGCTGACCTCATAATGTTGCAGTTGACACAGTTGACATGCGGGCGTGGCTTATTTGATATATGGCACCCTTTGACTCCATGTTCGGGGCTTCCTAGCTTGTACGCGACATACTGCCTTTACATCCTATCGCGAAGAGCTTTGCAGCAAGCTTGCATTGTTTTTGTCATGCGGTCGGCTTTATTTGGCCCAGCGTTGCGGCCCTTGACAAAGGCAGGTCACGGCTTTGGCAACGGTGTGCCAGTTTCACTTGGAGTTACACAGCCAGTCTGTGTGTTGAGAGCTTCAAAAGGGCTCGTTCAGGTTCTGGCCGTGGTTCTGGCAATCCTGTCGGCAAAGCAGGGCTCTCAGTCAAGAGGCTTCAGAAGGCCTTGCGCGAATCTCTAGTCTTGACTTCAAATGGCCAGCCCACTCTTAACATTCCCGGCGAGACTGATATATGCCCATATAAGTACATCCCTATATGTCCCCATATGACCTTATATAACCCTAGTTAGCCCTGTATGACCCCTAATTTTGGGAACCCCCTGCTGCAGGCATCTTCTTCATGGCAACGCCTGGATATCGTGTAGGTCATTTAGGCGATCTGCTAGTGAGTCAGTTTGCAACAGTCACAAATTCCGGTCTTCTTGCAGTGCCTCAGATTTCTGAGCATGTCAGTGGAATTCATGAGATACAGTGCTTTGAACGCCAGTACTTCTGTGCAAGTTGCAAAGATGCTCAATGGGCGCTGGAGTCCCCAGCGGATTATAGTCTGAGCGCCTTCTTCCTCGTACATTTTCCTTGACGTGATGGCCTGCCTTGACAAGGCTTTCCAGCTCGCGCGAGCTGAGGGTGAGGTGGCTGGCGACATCTCGCTGCTGCCAGTTGTCATGATTCCATTTGTTTGGAGCTGCTCTGATGCGCTACATCTGCCTGCTCCAGGGAAGCTTGAACTGCGGCTATTTGTTCGTGACAGGCGCTGCGCTGAGGAGTCCAGCTCCTGGCTGCCTCAGTTCGAAAATCCTTTGGCAGGCGCCGCTTGGGATTTGGGAAAAGGGCTAGATAGTTTGCGTGAAGTCGTCCTGGGCAGTGATGCAATCAAGAAGGATATTACTTGTAGCCGCGTGCATCCTGCGTGTGTCCTTCGAGATTTTTCAGCTGCACTTGTATTATTTAAGCCAGAGATGTCTTCTCTGTGCAAGGCTCCATGGCAGATCCCGGCTACTGGAAACAGCAGCGGCTGCCTGGTTTGCTTCCCCGTGGCGTGGATGCGTAGGTTTGCTTGTATGGCGCATGTCCGGCTGGATAAGCCGGATAGGCCGCACAGAGTGCACCAAGTGTAAACCCTCATGCAGAAGCAGCTCGTGTCGCAGCCTGTTTGGCTGTGATCCAGGCTAATGCAATGCTCATTTTGAAGTCGATTTCGTACTTGTTAGATTAGGCATGAGCCTTTGGCCAGTTTTGCAACAGCCAAATCAATCCTTGTTGCAATCAGAAGCCGCAGGATGCCGAGTTGCAGAGATCGCAGAAAAGCCTTACCCTCCACACACGCACACACGCACTAGCCTTTTTTTCCCGCAACGGAGCCAGGAGCAAGGTAGATGTAGCCAACCATGTGCTCATGGACTGCATGCCTTCTGGCTCTGATGCTTGCGACAACCCGAAGCGCTGCACATGGTGCATCGACGCACTTCAGCAAGTTCCACGCAAACAAGTCTTTCAGCCCAAAACATGCAACCAGCCAAGGTGCGACGAACGCATCATTGCCGAAGTCCCGCCCGTTCCGTCTGCTGACGGAAGGTGAGGCGATGAGGTGACCTGGGTTGGTTTGCCGGTGCGATGCAGCAGTCCATGGACATTTGTGTTTTGCTTCATCTATGGGAGTGGCAGGATCATGGAAGAGCTTGGGCTGCAAGCTTATCAAAGCATTCATAGCAGAGGGCAGCTATGGGCAGCTCCTTGCTGATCCAGCTGTAGCATGAAAGAAGCTTTTGCACCTGCTCGGCGCCATAATCAGAACACGCCTGTCAGACTTTCTATGCATTTCCGTGCGTCGGAGGATGGACACTTGGATGTCCAGCATCTCCCTCAGGGCAAGGACCCTTTTGCTTGGCACAGAGCAAGACTACAGGGGGCTGGCAGCAGCCTACTGAAAGTGCTCTGACCCTGGCAGGATATGGCAGAACGCCTAGCTGCAGCTGTCAATGCGGCGGTTGTCAGCATCCGACGCGAGCTGATCTCTTCAGGTAAATACACAAAGGCCGGACGCCTTGCAGGATCATGCAGGAATGGGGGGAAGGAGCTGTGCTTCATAGAGACATATAGAGACCCATATTAGGCATCAGCCCCGTTGCAGCGGCCGCCGAGCGCACCCACCGTGCGAGGCACTTCGACGAGCAAAGCTTGCTAAGTTTGAATGAGACTTCTAGCAAGGCGCAGGAGAGGCGCTCTCTCCACAAAGCAAGGAGGCGGTCGAATGGGGATTTGCCCCAGCCCTAGGCTTCAACAGGGCTTTGATCATGAGTTTCACGTTGCAATGCTCGGCCTGAGACACGCGAGGCCAACATCCCGCGAGTGTTCAAGCTGGCAGTAGTTGGAGGGTTGCTGCCCTGGAATTGGTTTTGCACTCTCCGGCGCCCTAAGGCTCTAGGGTGGCACATTGCATGTACTTGGAATAAGGTGCTGTGGTGGCAAGACCGTATCACGCAAGCCCATCGGAGCAGCGCTGCATGAGAAAGATTCTCGGGCGCAATTCTTCTCCACACCGGAGATTGCCACGGTTCTCTTCAACCAGGCCATCACATGCGCATGGGTGTCGCAAGTGTCGCTTCAACTTCTGAAGCCTTTTTGGTGGATCCTCCATTGACAGCACCTTGCATTTGGATCGCCAAAATTGGATGCATTTCTTTGGAATAGCCTCCGCTGTCGTTCTCCAATGAATGCTTTTGGTCCATGACAGCTGGATCGTCAGGGAGCCATGAGCAACGGCTCCTATATAGGTTTCGTGGACGAGGACAGGGAGCAGCCTCGCAATATGCTTCGCATAGCTTGCTCTACATCTGCAATGCAAGTTTAGCGCCCAGCTTGCGCTGCGTGTCCACAAAATTCTTGGAGGAGTACATCGAGTTCGTCATTCAGTCTGAAATACTCCAATTAGTCTTTGAAGGCCTGGTTTGCCGGCACATTGTGGATGTGTCTCTGAAGAGGGAAGTGAGCTACGCATGTGCGGCATTTGAAGGCCTTTGGGCCCAGGGTGCTGCGTTGTCACTGGTCTCGACCAATTATGCAGTGCCTTGGCAGAGATCGTATGGCTGCACCATTTGTTTAGGGTATATCTTGGTGTTGTATACGGATACTTGAAAGAGAATGGCAACGACTATATTAGAAAATAGGGTAATATGAGCTGTAGTCTCTAAAGTCCTGAAAGAGGGCGTTGTTTAGGGGACTGTAAAGGGGAGTTTTTAGGGCTTAATGAGCGGATGATAGGAGTCCGGACTATGCAAGAGAGGCCATGCCGTGTGAGCATGTGAGGTTCTTCATCCGTGCATGTGCGTGTCTGACCGCAGGGACTTGGGTTCTGCAGGAAAAGAGCCGTGAGCTGCGTTAGCAGGTAGGCACTTCTGTTGCCTCTTCTTTCGATAGGCTTCGGCTTTTGCATGGCAGCGGAATGACCTGGCTTCCAGCTGCTGGGCGCTGCCTCCTCTTGCCTGCAGCACTTAGCGTGGTGAACTTGTTCTACGGCCTGATTCTCCGAAAGTCGAAGGGCTTGGAACAGTTCGTTTTCTACAGTACCAGACGATCCGCCGCGTACTCAACGACAGAGAAACCCTCTTCCCTCTTCAGGGTGTGCTTGCCGCGTCTGCCAGGACAAAAGCGAAAGCCTTAAGGGCACTGCTTCCAGAACGGCAAGGGCATCTTGGCTTTCTCCTCAGCTTTAATAACCTTCTTCTTGTTCTTCTACACGGTCCGGTCCCAGTGCTACGTGAAGTGCGCTGTTGGCTTTCATCGACAACGTGATCTTCAGGATCTACCTTGGGCCTTTCTAGGCGGTGGATCGACGACGTGATTTTCAAGATCTACCCTGTGCCTCTCACATGGCATAGTTTGTCCACAGTTCGCCTTGGGCCTTGACAAGTCATGGCAAGGACTGTCGGATCAGATTGAGTCAGAGGACTGGCATGGAAAACAATCCTTGAGCGCAGGTCCTCTGAGCCTTCAGACCATGTGAAGCAAGAATCTCAGAGGTCTAGAACAAGGTCCCCTCGTCCTTCGAGAGCAACGTTCAAGTGGTCGTCGTGCGCTTCCTGAAGGGGTAGTTGGTGGTAAGGCCGTGTCATACATGCAGGACATTAGGAACGACATCATGGAGCAGTACAGGGTTCAACAAGCACAAGTGCTGGGCAGAGAGCCTTCGCAAGATGTACTTGATGAGCGTGTGCGTTGTGAGCTTAAGCAACCTACTCCGGGTGATCTTGTCTCGATGTTCGGCATGGTCGATGGTGACTTGAGTCAATCCATCAATGATGAGAGTGAGTTCCAGTTCTTTTCAGTGTTTTCCGTCTCCCACCTTGGTGGTGGAAAGCTTCGAGTTGGCCTCACAGATGCCCCATGACCTAGACAGTTTGCTGCAAGAGCCACCTCCACCAGAAACAGAGAGTACTAGAGCTGGCCCGCTGCCCACAACAGCAGAAAATATTTATTTGAGAAAACCTATAATGAGAAATCCGATGACTACGCATTATATAAGATTGCACGTGAAGTCCTATGAGCTATCAACATATTAAGACCGCGCGTGGCGTATAGATTCTGAAAGGTTTTAGATCCGAGCCGCCGCGCAAACAGCCAAAGAGAGAGCGATAGCTCGAAATCTTAGGAGATTTTTGGTCACGCGGCCCTGTGCTCGTGCGGCTTCCGCATCCAGCCCGGTCTTTCCGCCTCGCTCATCTCTCTTAGGCTATCTGCGCGGCGAGCCGGGGGAGCGCATACATCTCCGTGAACAGAGACGATGAACTTATAAATTCTGAAAGATTTTATTTCTCCGTCCGGGCCTACGCGCTCCTCCGAGCAGCCGCGCCGACAACCAAAGAGAGATAAGTCACGCGGAATATATAAGATCGCACGTGAATCCCGACGAATAATCAATATATAAGACCGCACGTGACCAAAAACGGCCAACTTAATAGATTCTGAAAGATTTTGGATCCCCGTCCCAAGTCTACACCGAGCCGCCGCGCAGACAGCCAAAATCTCGGGAGATTTCGGGTCGCGCGGCCCCCGCATCCAGCCCGGTCTTTCCGCTTCATGTATCTCTCTTGGGCTATCTGCGCGGCGGCCCGGGGGAGTGCATACATCTCCGTGAACGGATACGGCCAATCTATAAATTCTAACAGATTGTTGTTCTCCGTCCCGAGTCTATGCGCTCCGACGAGCAGCCGCGCAGACAGCCAAAAGAGAGATAAATCACGCGGAAAACCGCTCCGGAGGCACGGGCCGTGCGACCAAAAATTTCGAGATTTTTGGTCGCGCCGCCCGCGCCAAAAATTCTCGGAGATATTAGAGCCTCTAGCTTTTCCGAAGGGCTCTAAAATCTCCGAGATTTTAGAGCCCCTAGGGAGCCCGCAGGAGGCATTTTAAAGGTGAGCCGGAAATCCGAGGCTGCACGCGAGCGAAATGGCCGCAAGTGGCCGCGCCGTAATATTGAGATATGTTCGTCGTGCGTCCCATGTTGACAGGCAGTTGTGAGAGCATGTTGGTTGCGGAGACACTCAAGCCAACACTTCCCCAACGTATCCGTAGTTTGAGGCTGAAGCTGTTGCAACATAGGCTGCGTCGGTCTTGCTTCACCAATGGCGACTGCGGAGGACCCTCGGCAGACCGGATGGCCCTGTCATGGAGATCATGTGGCGATGAAGTTCAAGGGAAACCAGTTCGGCTCGTGGACAGTTTGCAGTCGCTCTTTGCTGCGCTTAGACTAGACCGTGACCAATGGCTCGGGCAAGCGTCGCACGGCAGGGCACCAGCAACACATTGTTCGCCAGGCCCTGGAAGAGCTGCAGATGGAGTACGATGCGGAAGCCATGACCGAGAACCTGATGAATCCAAGGCCGTGGCGTCATGAGCGGCGAGAAGGTGAAGATCAAGAACACCATGGAGCCGACGAGTCGGGGCTATGTGATCGACGTGGAGGCTCCAACCTGCGATGCTTGGAGAGCGACACCGAAGTCTCATGCTTCCCGAAGGAAGTGGCAAGGCCGACCATGGCGAAGGCCAAGAGCGTTCCGAAAACATCCGGCCAGAAGTTGGAGCAGGCTAAGGAGGAGGCCTTGGAGGAGCGCGAGATCGAGCTGGCGGAGGCGAGACCACATCTACTACCCGCAGGAGCGGCTGGACGAGCTCCAAAAGAAGGTTCACTTGGCGGGCAAGATCAGGTTTGCGGAGTCCGAGGAAGAGTGGGAGCAAGCTGAGGGCATGGAGGAGGACAGGGCTCCAGTTGGGCGCAAGTGAGAAATGGCGCGGGGCGAGGAGATCCCGGGGCTGGGCAGTTTGCCTCGGCGTTGCCAAAATCTGACTTGGGCACTGAAGGCGTTCATTGCTGGCGCCCCGCCGAGACAGATTTACATGGCCTTCCGGAGTGCGAAGATGGTTTCGCGTTGTCCGATCAGAAGAAAGTTGAGAAGCATGGTCGCAACTTCTTCGCAACCTTGATGTGTACAGGAGTTTCAGCGCTGGCTTTGTGTAGGAATTCAGACTTCAGTGAGACTGGTGGCAACAGCCTGGGCGAGTCCATGAGCACGGAGGGCATCCTCCCACCGCGCCTTTGACTACAAGCATGGTGTCAACTTCTATGATAAGAACGGCGTCCGCGGTCGCTGTGTGAATGACACTATACTGGAGACCAGGCCGGGCTTTGTGTGGGTTTCCCTACCTGGTCGATGGTGAGTTTAGCTCCTCTCGGTGGCGAACTTTTGAGAGGCTTCGTCGGCGAGATTTGCAAAGAGCTGGCGAGATGTCAGCAGGAATCGCTGATGTGATAAAGGGAGGCGGCCACTTCGCCTGTAACAAACATTTCACTTGTACATGCGTCCCTTTGGTGATTCCAATAAAGTAGAAGTTTCACTCTGTTACGTTTAGGCTCAAACCGCACCCCAAC